TGTTTTTTGGCAACACTACATTTTTTCTTTTGCACTCCTGACATGGTATAACATTTTTTTCAACATCAGACATGACCACGACTTGGTGAATCAAAAAAGTTGCTACTCTCTGCATTTAAAGCTCAATACTTTGAATATTATCAGGAAAGTCTTTATTTCCAACATAAACCATTATTTTTTTTTCCACATATTTTCAAAAAATATTGAATTAAAATTTTTCAAAATGTCACGAAAAGGTGTTGCACTCCTGACATTTTTAGCCTCATTTTTGGGCATAACTTTTTTGTGAATTGAGATATCAATGAAATATTTGGCAGGTATTTAGATACTATGTAAAGACATTTTCCGAGACATAGAAATTTATTCCCATTGCCTGTTTTTAGTGCAGGTTGATAAATATGTGTTTGGTCATTTTTTTTAAATTCACCCCAATGCGTTGTACCGGAAGTTTCAAGTTATCGGAAGTGTTGTTGACCGCTGACTGTCAACACGTCGGGTAACTACTTTGCATGATGTTTTCTCATTCAAGAGAAATCTAGATTTAAAGTTGTCGAGCAGTTATCCATGCAAATGGTGGTCACACGCAGCACTTCTTTGAATTCGGTCAAAATCTATAGATACTAGTAGAGATGTTTCTGAATATGAATCGAATCCGAATCTGAAAATGAATCTGAAACGAATCTGAAACGGAGGGATCTCGATCCCGATTTGAAAACTGACAAAAATATCATCATAAGAAAAGTTCTTAATTTATTATACACTGAATAATAATATATGATTATTTCTGTGATTTATTTTTTCAATTTTACGATGACTAGGTATATATCGAATTTACATTTGAAAAGTGTTTGATCCTCCCCCTCCTTCTAATTTTAACTAGTTCAAAATTACTTTCGCTAAATACCATCGTCGGATACCCACGAGTGATCTCGTCTTTTACTCATCACCGTACATGTATCTATGTTTAATATGTCATTAAAAAAATAGTGGATGATGTAAACTTATATTTTTGTCAATGGGATGGCGTGTTATAAAAGGGACACGTCAAATTCTATAGACTAAATAACAGAACAGGTACCCTTTCAACTCCTTTCAAAACCTAGCTGCTCGTAAAATTATCATTGTTGTATTATTCACCTACTTACAATATTTGTTTCTGTCAAGAATCGTGTTCTGGACTCTACAATGTATTTTTAAAAATATTCTGTATAAATGTATACATAAGAGTCATTTTATATATTTATATGTAATTGAAAATTATGTCGGATAAATAACCTTTTCAGCAGCCCCTTGGCCACTTTCTCACAGGTCAAATTTTTTGTCGATTTACATTGGATGTCTACAAGTTTTCTAGTTTAAACGTTTCCTTTCATTTCACTGAAAAATTCCTTGATTGGCGAAAAATTAAGCTTGTTAAATGAATAGTAAAAAAATTTAATTTGTCTCCACCATCTCAAAGAAAACACAATTCTCCCGAGGAACGAATATCTAGTGAGTTAAACAATGAAATGATACAAAGCTGATAGCTTTCGTATGTATTTAAAAGACACTTATTACATGTAGTATGTCATATGGCTGATCTACAGGATGCAGTTACAGTATGGGAATGGGGCGCAACTTATCAAAAATCAAGTCTACAGACTTTATTAATGAGGAACATAACCGTAATTTTGATAATTTTGATCTGATTATATATGTACTAGGTAGTATATAACGGCAAAATTAATAGGAGGGAGAGCTGTTCTCCATCTTGCGGGCCTGATATTATACAATTATTTTTCGACGACGAACTGAGAGACCGTTCAGTAGCGATCAAGCGGTGGAAGGTGTCAAAGTAGTCCAGCCCCGCCCCCAGTTATCCAGAGTTATTATATTGTATGTAATAAAGTTAGCAAAGATGAACTTATCCCTCCCCCAATCCCCCTACTTTGGAAACACGAACGAACCCCTCATAAGCTGGTCGAGGAGAATTACACAAGCATGACAAGCCCCCACACACAGAGAGGTTTTTTCATGTTCAGGGAGAGATGGGATTTTGTTTTTGGTCGAAAAATATCCTAGTTGGAGAAAGAGGGTATTTGTTTATCTCCGTGGGAATTTAATAATATGCCCCCCCCCCTTCCCGCCCTAAGCAAAATCTTGGTTCTCCCTTGACATTTCAAACACTCCCTAGCCCCAAAGAAAAAGTAAATCTAGCTTACTTCATAAACTCTTATTTTTCACATCACTACAAGTAATGTGCAAATATAACATCCATATACGATTTAAATCATGGACTTATTACTCCCAGAATTTAGTGGTGTTTTTTTTTTTTTTTTGGGGGGGGGGGGGTCACAAACACATATCTTTTGAAGGTTACAGAATGATATATGTGTACCAAAGAGAAAAAATCTGTAATCATACATGTGTTCATTTTCAAATCGGGATCGAGATCCCTCCGATTCAGATTCATTTTCAGATTCGGATTCGTTTCATATTCAGAAACACCTCTAGTTACAAGTTAGGTTGGGCTTCAACATATTCAAGTTCGAGTATATTCCGATAAGGTCTTAAGACAGACATGCAGCTATAAAGTTAGACGGCTAGACAGAGAAACAAACAGACCATATGAAGACAATGTGTCTTCTCTACCCAAGGGGCATACTAGTATACAGTAAAATAAATTACTGTGGCATGCTTCATTCTTGCATTTATAAATGATTCGTTTACCCATTACTTGTAGAAGAACTAACTATTATACTTAAAAAATGTTTATTGTGATAATCAGTCATACACACATACATGTTATCTTAAAAAGTTAATACAAACCAAATTATTACTCTAAAGTCTAGTAATCGAAAGTATTTGAAAAGTTTATTTAGAAAACATGTGCAGTAAAACAATGCAATGAATTTGAAATCAGAGATATTAATAGCGATTCTCTGTAACCACTTAAACTTCTTTGCCACGCATGGTCACCGATTTTGATGAAACTTTGCCCATTATTACAACTTGACACCAGAAACATATAGTAAATAAAATTTCGTTGCTATGTGTCTTGGTTGCCATGGTAACAGCCAGAAAAGTTGAAAAAATTGAGATTTTCAGCTACTTTGAATCTTTATTAAGCCTTAATAAAGACTAAGAAAAACAAACAAACCATTCTCCCAAAAACATGACACCTTGTTGCCCCTTTTGCTATAAAGAAACTATTTAGAATTTATCTCTAAGTAAGTGGTAACCATGGGTACATTTGGAATACATTTTAGATGCTGAAAAATGCCGAAAAACGCTCAATATTCACCAATGATAGATGTTACATGATCAAACTCAATCAACAACCTAAGAAAAACAATAAAAAGTATTTGACCGTATGTAATTAGGTATTGGCAATATTATTCTAAAAATAACTTTCATGGTTGCCATGGTAACACAGCGTAACCATGCAAAATCTGTTGCTATGATTGGGTTAATGCTACTATCTTGAGGAAAAACAATAAAATTCATGACTAACACATATGCATCCTTGGAACCTTGCAACACCGACAACATAAGAAAAATTGGGATTAAATGTTACTTTGCATTGTAACCATGGAAACAACGTATCAGTCGTTTAAAGTGATATTTTTTGCTCCTTTAGGAATTTACTTACCTTTTAATCAAGAAACTTATTATTTGACTCACCTTGAATACTACTTAACTGGTAGAACTAAAGTTGAATATCATATATTGATAAAGTTTGTTGAAAAATACAACACTGTTACTATGGTTACCAAGAAGGGAAAATGTTCAATTTTGTTAATTTTATATCAATATTAAACCCTATGTGCCAGCTTTTTGCATCCAGTTAGAGATTGGGTGGTAGTCAAAATTCAAAGTCAGGTTAGTTGTTCATAAATATCAATAACAAAAGTTTTGGGAATCTACTTACAAGGGTGCGTATCCAAGGAAACAGAATATTTTTCAGATTTTTATGCATATTTTTTCGGATAATTTCCATAGCAACGCTCTATTTAAAGAATTGGGTTTGAATTTTTTGAAATGTGAAAATAAGGGTCACACCAATGCCTTTCAAAATTGATCATCAGTTATATAGAAATATGCTTTTTAAAAAGATAGGATAAGATTAAAACACTAAGAGAATAAATTTAAAATCCTCTCGAGGTAAATAAACCATAGCAACCGTTGCCAACCTATAAGAAATATCATATTTCGTCCTTGGTATATGATACAAGGATCTCTTGTCCATTATTTGCTTGCATTTCAACCTATAATTGTTTTTATTCTTAAGTTTATGACTTTATAAAATTAAATGAACAAAATTATTACTTTTGAATACTTTGTTTCCATAGTAACGTATGTAATAGTTGATTTACCAAGCATGTTTATCATGCATTTAAGACGTCAGGCCTTCAACTTTCAGAAACAGTCATTGCCACTTGTTTGCGTTGCTGCAAACGTTAACTGGGGGACTCTGAACATGTTGAAAAATGCCATTTTTCAAACGTTAGGACATGTTGCTATGGTAACCATGACAAGTAGCAACCAATTTTTGTCTGATTTGAGTATAAGGTATCAAAGACTTTTATCATAGAGAGTTTGGAGAAATTCTGAGACTATGCGTGCCACAGCTCCTATATAAAAGTTCAAGTCATTACAGAGAATGGCTCTTAAGTTCAAATATTTTTTCTACCTAAATATGGATTCGGAAATACTAGACTGTATGTTATGGTAGAGTGGGATAAATATTGTACTAGGCTAAAAATGACAAAACCTTGACACTGACACACACACATACTCAACCCCCCCCCCCCTCCCCATGAGTACTCGACTATCGTTCTACTAAAGCATCCGACTACTCGACTCAGCTGTGTTAGTGAAATTGACATGCCTACTCTAAACTACATGTAATATGCAAATAAAAAAATAACTTAAATAAATTCGTAAAATGTCTTACTCTTGATTGGAGAAAGGAAAACGAACTCAGCCACTTCTACAAAATTACGTAATCTTTAATATACTCACCCAAAGGGACAGTTAACAGCCTTGCAATGATCTCTTGGTCTGCATTGATACCGATCAGTTTTAGGATTTGCGACACGAGCTCCGCTGTATCTCAAGACAGCAAGTGCAGTATCAGGATTTAAAGGCTTTAATATAAAACTTTCACATTTAAAATGAGGAATATTCAGGAAATAAATAAAATTACATTAATTTTTCTGATTTTTACTTAAGAATATGAATTACCCCTTCACTGTTGCCTACTTCCAAAGTCTGTGCGCGCACCCAATAATTGTTAATGTCTTCCGAAGCCAGTACTATGAAATCTACTCTTTCGCCACCAAACACCATTACTGATTCGGCGCTTGTCATTGTGACATCATTACCATCGACAGATATTATTTGGATGTCATGCTGAATTAAATGATATAATATTGTTTATAACAGTCAAATTCTTTATTATGTGTTCAGCTAGACCTTGGCGCATTTGAATAAAATTTTGTTAAATAGTGATGAACCAATCAGTTACATGTATATTTTCATGCTAATAGTTCCACGACACATTATTGAACCTGTTATTAAATATCTCTGTTTTGAACATACTGTATATTGATTACAATGTCAAAGAAAGCGCTCATCTAAGCAATATGCACATTACAAGTAAACTTTTTTTGCTAAGTAATATTAATGGCAAACATGACAAAGTATCGAAATCATCTACCTTGTCCACAGATACACGGAAACCATAGAGCATGCCGGAGTTGATAACCCTAAATCTGTAATAACCATATCGCTCAACATTGAACGTTTCCAATGGTAACTCTGGTATATCAGGCTGTTCCGGATTATCTTTGTTAAGATAATGATTACCTACGAAAGTTACAAAAAGATGGAGATCATGGCTATTTATATAATTTACCCTCCTGTTAACAATCAGCTTGATGCTAATTCTAAATTTTAATTAATTAATTGTTCTGGATGTTTCCTATATATTTCATGGTGAGTTTGTTATATATCGTGACTTTCATCCTACCTCTGCCATTAATAAGGGCTGCTTCCAAAGGAAATAGACCCACCGCTCCTCCCGTGGCATCAAATGTAAATGAGTAGCATTTAGTTTCGTTAAATCCATATGAAAATCTGTCAAGAATACAAATTAATAAATCTTTCTTCAAAATTAAATTTATTAGGTCTCTATTTATACTACATAAACATAATGATAATTAATACTTACGTGTTCAAACCCCAGTCAGCCTCATTTTTGGTCTCAACAGAAGCGTCAAGCTTCCAGTCTGTCAATACCATGACAAAGTCCCCGGATAACTCTGGTAAATCACTTCTCAGATTCTTAACATAGTGTGAGATATTAAAAGCAAATTACCTTTATGTTAATCCATTCGTGATCATAGAAACATTAATAAGCAAACCATTGATAAAAACAACGAATCAACAACAGAAAAAAAGGTTTACTATTACCTCTGGTTTGTCGGGTCTAGGGAGCACAATCAGTGCCCCTGTCAAACCATCTGTACGTTCTGTTCCTAAGTGAGAGTGATACCAGTGGGTTCCAGGAGGATCAGCCAAAAACCTGTAAAAGGTATCCCTTCTTAAAGTTTTTTTGCAGAGATAGAGAGACTTAGACTTAGAGAAACTGTATTTGATAGATTGATGACATGAGCTGAAGCCCAGTTAAGCTTCTCTGATCAAAGTTGTTTGATGTCCGATTGTCTGTATGTTTTCGCTTCACGACTTTTTATGAAGAACCTATACATTAATTAATTCAAACGTGACCTAGATCATTCCTAAGAAAAAAAAATCTTACCTTACCTTTGTTCAATTAAAGGATCATATCCCTTTACAAGGAAAGATAATGAGTAACCACAAAGAATGCAAGCATTTTCATTAAACTACTAGATAGGATAAGACAAAACCTTTATGCATTGCAGATTCAAATAAAAAAAAGCTAATGGTTTTGATTTCGCCATAAGAGAGGATAATATTTAGACGTAGCAATACGCATTTTTCATTTCTGATGATATACATAGTCCCTACTTTCATTGGGGAAAAAATTACTTCGAAAATAAGACTTATGAGAATAAAATTTGTGTGGGGAAAACTTCATTCGTTCTTTTTGTGTAAGATTCTGTGAGAGTTGTTTTTTTTTGTTGAGGTGGAGTAAATACACTTGTATTTTTGACCACATAATTACTCGATAAATAACTGTTCCATCTGTAATCGAAGGTTGAAAGAAATTCACATATCTGAGTACCATCTACATTGTAATTTACAGAAGTAATTCTATAAATGAAACCTTATAATCATCAAATGAAAATTGTAAGTTAGTGATTGCAAACCCCCCTCTAATTGATGATGTGTAAAAAATATGCGATCCTTTCATGACATACCTATATTGGAAAGTCTCCTCTGGGTTGATTGGACAGTGTGATACAGTTCCAACACCGTCCATCCAAGGTGTATGCCATTGAACCATCCCGTGCCAGTGAATCGTAAGTCCCTCCATTAGTAAATTATTCTTGATGTTTACAACAACCTGAAACAATTATCATATTTTGTAATATATTCATTTCATAGATTTAGAGGAAGCTTTACAGATATCTAAAAATAATCCAAAAATAGATAATCAAAGTAAAACAATTTTATATCTTTGTTGGGTACTTTCTTCAAATAAAAAAAGAAGATATTTTTACCTGTTGTCCCTCGTACACCACAACTGAAGGACCCGGATACTGTTTGTTAATACTGTAGATCATTTTGTAATTACCGTCTGCAAAAATAGCTCTATCCGCATCTGTAAGACAAATATATACTTTGCCGATCTGTCCGTTAGTACTGAGGCTAAAATTTGATACTTGTTAAATTTTCCGCTGTGCACAATATGTAACCAGTCTTAATTTCAAATGCATATTTATCTGAGTCCCCCAAAACAAAATCAAGACAATTATGTTAAAACCGATAATGTGCCAAGCACAACTTTATTGGGAAAAAAGGGAGGGTTAATTCACTTCTCTAGCAATACAATAATACATGACGAATTCATATTACCTTTGGAAATGAAACAATTTGTAAAATGCAAAAGTAACATGCTAGTCAGTGTTTCTTAAGTTTTTAAAGTTGTGGCTAACAATAAATACTTTTGATTCCTGAATCATATCACTTCTGTTTTAAAATTTATAAGGTGATTGCATTTTTATTAACGTATTGAGTTTTACGTCTTTTCAAAAATACCTTATTGACATGGAAAAATGAACACCGGAATTATTTTTATGCATACACTTAAATATTTTAAAAAAGAAACACTGTTATGCATACCGTACCTTTATTAATATCAATTGGGATAAGCGCATTACAACCTGAACGCTGGAAGAGGGTACCATTTCTGACAACGATAGGATTTCCACGTCCATCTTCATCGTAATAAATCATAGTCTCAACATAGTCAATAATCCAATCAAACTCACACACCTCCTCCTCAGGGGGGCAGTGGGGTTTCACGGTATGATCGAAACTATCTACAGATCTCAAGACAAAAGACAGTAAAAGTAATAGCAGGACGGGAATAGTTGATTTCTCCATGCTAGTAAATTTTCATCCGATCATAAAACTATCTAAGCAAGTACTTTATATTGTTTGAAATACGCATTATCACATGTAGTGATATCATGTCATGGATAAGATACATATTGCTATATAAACAAATTATCCAAGTTGGTATGTGATCTGGGTGTAAATAATGAACGATTTCTCCATTTTTAGATATGATGACGTGAAATCAAGGCTAAATACTTGAGGCCAGTTCATTAACCAGTTACCTGGTAGTTTACTTACAATAACAACAACAAAAATCACTGTTTCTTTATTATTGAAACACAGTTAACCCCTATAGTTTGATATATGAGAGAGAGAGAGAGAGAGAGAGAGAGAGAGAGAGAGAGAGAGAATGCACAACAGAACAATATGCATTGTACAATTATGTACTTTAATCCATATCGATATTCTATGCCAGTACTTCCTATCACATAGAAATTCATTCGCATCAAATACAATGTGTCACAAAAAAGAGAGTAAATTTAACGGGGGTATATTTATAAGTTAGATGACTAAAAAATCAAAAGATAATCAGAGATTCTGTCGGTACAGTTGCGTCTCTTACATAAAAATATTAGTGTAATAATAAAGAATATTATAAATTTAGTCCTTTCTTAAATAAAATATACAAAAAATTGATGTAAATTTAGTTCATATCAGTAAGTACTCCATTCCTTAGACAACGAGAAGAATACTAGATCAGAAAACTAGGCACTGCATTTCCGTATGTAATACACAATGACATGTAATAGACGGAATCTTTCAAACCCACAGTGTTCCAGTGCGAATGTAATGACACTTTTTTTTTTTTTTTTTTTTTTTTTTTTTTACAAAACACCTAGACGTATAGGCGTAGTTATGGACATCGACCATACAACAGACCAAATATACATGATGTCTCATTTGATTCACTTTTACCTTACGTTATTAGAAAAAGTTTTCACCACTTTACTCGGTTCCCATGATATTTTGAATGGACTATTTGAAGAAGCTAAAGCAAGTCCATACTTGGATTTTTTAACTGCAGAATTCAAGCCAGTGTTTGTGAATATGGATGTTTCCCAGCACAGACGTATTAGAAATATATTTAGAAAATCGTTATAGAAAGTTAAAAGGCAATATACGAACCATCTATTCTTCCGTTTTCACTAAGTCGGAGGTGAGAAAAGGATTAAAACTAAATTAACAATATGTTTTGGTTTCAGAAGACAATACTTGTAACAATATCGTTTTATATGTAAGACTCATTATTGTAACTTTTTTTTTTTTTTTTTTTTTTTTTTTTTTATAGAATAAACTGGCTTTAATTCTTAAAATCCTACTTATACTCACAGTTCACTTTCTAAAGATGAAATTCTTAAAATCACATTTCAGTATTTAATATTTTTAACATTCCAGTCAACGAAGGTGAGTTCGATCTACCCTACCTATACTGGAGTCCTTAACTTCATAAAAATCCTTTTAAACATATATACATTGCCGGATCCAGCAAGTGCTCTACCAAGACCCCATCTTTACTCCTCATAAAATTATTACAGTTTCTGTAAAGGAGAAACTTCAGACATACCGTGCTACAGGATATTCTATAAGTGTTATAAATCCAATGTGGATTCTCAAAAAAACTCCAAAGAACTTCTGGAAAATTTAAAATCACAAATTTTTCAAAAAGGTAATAACATCAAAACATAACTTTTCTACGCTTGATACAACTATTCCTCACCATAAATTAAAAACTAGGTTTTTGATTTCAAGGACAATTGCTTCTTCAATAAGAATGGAACTCGGAAATTTTCCTATTTTGTGATCAGTTATCGACAAGGTCTTCCAACAACTTGTTGAAATTTCGATGGGCACTAACTGTGCTCTTTTATTAGCCGACCTGTTTTTATATTCCTATGAAGCAGAATTTATTCAAAGAACTTCTACATAAGAAGAAGAAAACACTTGCTACTTGCTTTGGCCTTCAACTCGACATTCAGATATATCGACGAAGTTTTATCAATTACAAACAGTTACTTCCATTCATAAGTCGGTTCGATATATCCAAGTGAGCTTAAAATAAAAGAAACCACAGGGTCTGCCACATCCGTTTTATATTTGGATGCTTTACTGACTATAGACAATAAGGGCCAACTAACAACTACATGTAAATTGTATGACAAACGAGATGACTCCAGCTTTTCGATCGTCAACTTTCCTTATTTATGTAATAATATTCAGCTATCACCTGCGTATATTGTTTATGTCTCCCAACTTCTTCGATACTGAGGAAAGTGCTCTGAATACGATCAATTTAAAAAAGGGGCTACCGACGGGTAAGTTGATGTTACAGAGATTTCAACAACCTCATTGAAAGTCAGTATTTCGTAAATTCTATGGTCACTATATATATAATGACATTATAAGCAAATAACCTATCATTGGGTCTAACTGGCACATTTCAGACCAGTTGTTGGGCCTTTGTTTTTATACTAAATTTGACTACGTGATTTTCCGTCTTCCTGATGAATAGGAAGGGCTCATGGCAGGTGTGACCGGTCAACAGGGGATGCTCACTCTTCCTAGCCACCAGATCACTCCTCTGAAAATTTTGGGGGTCAGTTTTTATGGCCTGTTCACAGATTTATATTGTTTGTAGTTTTTTGGAGATCTTTCACTGTTCATTATTTTCACCTTTTTCATCAATTACAATGGATCAATTTCAATAAAAGAAATATATTCGTAACATTAATATTAGTTTGCTTGTACAATAAAATTATAAACGAGCTAATAGAAGGTTAAGAAGGACATGATAATAGAACATGACCGAAGAATCCAAAATAACTCATGTGATATACCTTTTTATACAAGCCTAAAATAGATAGTCATTATCTGAAATGTTATATTTTGCAAATATAGATAAGTCGTGGTACAAATTGGTGCATACATGACTGGAGACACGTAGATACGGTACGAAGAGTACTGGACTGTTATCAATAGAATATTTTACATATCACCGGGAATAATATTATATACATGTTTGTTTTTTGCGATTAAGTACACATGAACTCCATGTTCGTATTTCGCAAATGTTTTCTTACAAAATAATTTGTAATAAAAATGAATAAGTCATTAGTGTTATCATGTGTATCGTTTTATTTGGAAGTTTATTTGCCTTGCAAGACCCCCCCCCCCTTCCCGATCCCCGGCTATTACAGCCTTAAGACTCCAAGGAACAGGAATTCTTCAATCCAAATTGTACTGTTGCATTTCTTTCAGATCAGTCTGTGATTTCATTGCTTTGACGCGTTGTAGATTGTTTAAAAAATATGAAACTAATTATGAAATTATGAAAATAACATTTTTTTGGAATTCGTTTAAACAAATTTAATCTGTCATAACAAATTTTTGAATTCGTACGATAATCTTATTACACAAATTTGATTCGTACGGAAGCCCGTTGAGGCCAATAATCATTGCGTTTAAACGCAAAAGATTGCAATAAATCGCAATGTATACTGCGTTTAAACGCAATAGTTTTGCGATTAAACGCAATACTTTTGCGTTTACACGCAAAAATATTTTTGCGTTTAAATGCAATATTTTTTGCGTTAAAACGCAATAATTTTTGCGTTTAAACGCAATAATTGTTGCGATTAAACGCAATACTTTTGCGATTAAACGCAATACTATTGCGATTGAACGCAATGGTATTGCGATTAAACGCAATACTATTGCGATTGAACGCAATGGTATTGCGATGAAACGCAATAATTTTTGCGATTAAACGCAATAATCTTTGCGTTTAAATGCAATAATCCTTCCTTTTAAGGATTTATTTTGCATTTAAACACAATGATACTGTTGTTTCAAAATCAAACATGAATTAGTCAAAGTTTATGATTACATGTATATGTACTAGGATCCGACTCTTCAACTTTAAGAAGAGCCGATTTGTTCTGTGTCTTTTTGCAAAATTTTCCAGTTTTTGAAAATTGTAGTAAAACAATGGCATCCTAAAAACCTGAATGTCTTAAATGTATTAGGACCCAAAACTCTTAATTGCTTACGTATATTACAACTTATAGAGAATGTTTCAGTTGTATTAATAGCACTTGTCAATTTGATACATGTGGTACACATTGATCAATCTGTTTTCATTTGATTTTGATTTCATATAAATCCATCACATATGTTCTTGTATTTACTGTATGCAACCATAGGAAGGGTTGTGAATGTACATTTAGGTCTAAATACTTCATCATGTTGTACGTAATTCCAACATTTCCTGTCCTTTCCAAAAATCCCTTTATACATGGGTTAAACTTGTGACCGCAACGTAAAAGAGAGAGTTTTTTAACAGAGCAACTGACCAAAACTTCATTAAGAATGTAGAGAATGAATAATAAGCTTAAGACATATCTCGTTCTTAGGTTGCCTTTGTTTTTACAACCCGACATTTTTTTCTCCTCTATAAATTCTTATTAGTGATTTATCCTTTCATTTTCTGATTCTATAAAGCTAGACAATACACAATTTCCTAAAAAGTAAAAAAAAAAAGAAATAAAAGATATAAGTATGCGTGAGTCCATTGTATTCTGCAAGGTTTGATACAAATGACTGCCTTTAAACATAAAGCTTATTGCCTTTAAACGCAAAAATCATTGCGTTTAATCGCAAAAATATTATTACGTTTAAACGCAAAAACTGTTGCGTTTAATCACAAATTTATTGCGTTTAAACGCAAAAGATTGCGTTTAATCGTAATCTTTTGCGATTAAATGAAAAGCTTTTGCGTTTAAACGCAATATACATTGCAATTAAACGCAATCTTTTGCGTTTAAACGCAATGATTATTGCGATTAAACGCAATGTTTTGCGTTTAAACGCAATAAAAAATATTTCTTTCTCTGAACTGGCCTTAACGGGCTTCCGTAGATTCGTTCTAAGAAATTCAAAAAAATTGTTATAAGGTATTAAGTTTATTTTAACAAATTCGACAATTCGTT